CTTAAGATGTAAGATAAATTAAAAGAATTTTATAGCTACTAGATGAACATTTGGAAGTAGTCATATCCTTTATATTTATATTCTTTCTGCCGTCCCTAGTCCCAGATATATACGTGTATACTTACCAACATGTTCGACGCTTCTATCTAGTGTGCTCCTATCCAAGGGTTTTGGCTCATGACGATCTTTACGACCTTGCCAAAGGACTTGCATAGCCAGGAGGATTTTAATGTCATCATGAAACAAACGCCAAGCGAGAGCACTAGCTGCCGACTTCGGATCAGAATTTTCAGCAATCTGATTAATGAACCAGTCGCGCAGACCAAGCTTGCAGGGCACCTGATGATGATCCACAGATGCACCCAAGATTGATGTTGTGTCAGACACAAAAGAACCCGGAACATCTGAAGTGGTCGATGCTGCCTCTGTAGAGTTTGCAAGTTCCGGGTCTTCAGTGTCGGGAGATATATCTTCGTCATCTATCTCACGCTCACCAAATAGCTGACTATTTAAAAAAGAGGAGGGTAGATATTGAAGAGAAAGGCATCTAGAAGCATTTGGCAGTTTCAATTGCCTGCGTCAAACCAAAATGATCAACATTTTATTATTTCAATAATTCTGACTAAATTATATTATCATGTCCTCATTTATGCTCCTTGTCTAAGAATGCCAAAGTAAGCCATGATATTTTGAATGGGATATTTCCATAGCCAGTAATGATAAAAATGCACGTACCCCTGTCTCTAAATATATTTAGTAGAAGATTTAAACAGGACGGGCAATGTAGCTAATGAAATTAACAGCTCAAGTGGACAACGGCACAAAAAGGGAGATAAACAGATCGACTTTTTTCGAATTTTAGAAAATAAGGTGATTACGAATAAAAGCCTCTTGATCAAAATTAGCTTAAAATAAATTATCAAAAAGATATTCGTTGTGATTAAAAAAATGTTGAAAAGACTAATTATTTCAATCAAGATGGAAGATATAGATTTAAAAAGGAAGTGGGGTGACAGCTTGAAGAAAAGGGCTTGGCATATTAAATTGGTAATGTAATGATCACGTCTAAATACTAAGGCCAGGTACCAGACAATGAACAAGTGTAAACGGATAAATCAGCACAATAAGCAATAAAATTGAACTTCTTGCATACTTGAATAAAAACTTTGCCCAAACGACGCAATGAATCGGCTCAGATGGAGTGTTGCGGATAGTACAAGTAGGGTAAGTCCTTTGGCCAGTTCCACGATTTCGACATTCATAACACTCTGTAGGCACAAAATCTGTCGCATTTGAGACTCCTTCGATCGTATCATTTTCTCCATCTTTAGACTTAACGGTGCATAATTCATGTCCAGTAATTTGAGGTTCGACCTAAATCAAAGAAAAAAGCTTCCGATTTGCGCAATATAACAAAGTAAATATATGTATAGCTTCATATCGGTAAAAAAAGAAGCTTTATATAAAAAATATTACCTGACCAAGATAGCCAGCAGTGCCTGACTCGATCAAAGGGCGCCGAGAGGCTACACACATCCTATTAACATGTTTACGTGCAGCTATAGAATTAAGAATTAAATTTAGAATACCTTGATTATCAAGTGCATTAAAGATTAATGTAAATTTTTTATAAAATTCTACATTAAAGCAGGCACTGAAAGTGAATATGAAGAGAAGCAGGTGGTACCTAAAAATGCTATCATGATGAGCTTCTATGTCCACATTAGGGTTAAAATACATAACACTAGCCCTCGCAATCTGCTTAAATAACTCAGCAAAAATTAAATAACCTCTGCCTTAGATTTTCCTATATGTTCTTTACGGAATAAAAATTGTCTGTTTAAATTGCTGACATCGATTGTATCAAGATCAATCTGAAATAATGAGGAAAATTCGCAAGCTCACCACAGTTATCCTTTTAAAACCTGATAATACCAAGTTTTTCAGAAGTTCACACCCAATCCCGCCTGCCCCAACTACGAGAACAGGAATAGAGGAGAAATCAGGCAACATGTTCGCGACAACTATAGCGCCAAAATTTAGGGGGAATTAGTCAACCTTTAGCCAATATAGACTATATTCGTTAGTCATTGTTTATTTGCAAAAAATTTACAAACTTAGAAAAACAAATAAAAAATTAATCTATAATTTTTGAAATTGCTTATGTAATTATCTTTAGCACACTGATGACTTAATATCTCAGATCGACAAACGAATCTCTTCTTCATTCACTTTCATACGAAATGAAAGTTTCCCAAATAATATATATAAGAAAGGGACAATTAATATTTATAAATGAAGTGTATGAGCCTCATTTTGTTTACGGTGATAAGGGATTGGTAATTGAATTTTCTCCTATAATGATATGAGAAGACCCTACTTATCCATTGCATTTCGCATTGTCTTGTTTTCCCAACAGGTATCATCATCCAGGGTGAACGGTAGGTTCGACTTTGTCTAGGTCTTATCAATATCCCCACTGGGATTCGCACCATGAAAATGCAGCATATTAGCTCTACACGTTAACCATTACGCTGCATTGCCACGAATGGCCTTTGTTCATAGGGAAGATGTAAATTTCAAGGATAGCCAGGAATTTTCCCATATCACATCTGCCCTATGAATGAAAGGTGCTCGTAGCAATATTCTGTCGTGGTTAACGTGTCGAGATTATACGTTGAACTGTCATGCTCCGAGTCCTGCTGGGGGTATTGCTAAGACTCAGGCAAAATCGAGACTGCCGTCCACCCTGGGTAAGAATACCTTTTGAAAAAACAAGGTTATGTGAAATTTAATGGAAAAGTAAGGCTTTCTCATATCATAGTGGAAAAAAATCAACTTTCAGTCCTCTTATCACCTTAAACCAAATGAGATGAATATAATTCATTTATAAATAATCTACTTGCAGTATCTAAAACCTACTTATAAATGAGACAATGATTACTTATCGAAGATATGAAGACCAAGATGGTGTGGCCTCCGGTATGTTCGCAATCTCCTTTCAATTTATAGAAGTGGGTTGATCTCGTTGTCGTCATTTGGTCCTGTTATCAGGGTGACTTAGTAGACAAACTTTGTCCAAAATCCTCTTCGGACTTTCAATAATTACTAATGCTCTACCTTTTTTACAACTTCATCCTTCCAATTAAAGAATAAATTCCAGAAAACTGTATTTTCTACTGTGATATTAAGTCTATAAACAATTATCTAGTCATTAAAGTTAATTATGGGTGTAAATCTATAAAATATTATTTTTACAACATTTTTTAAGTTAGGGCTATATTTTCTGTACGATTTAGTTTTCTAAAGCTCGTGCTACTTCCAATTGCATCCGAGCACCTAAGCTCATGAAAGCAATTTGATTTAAATCTTTAACGAGTCAATCTCGGTCACCTGGCAAATGAAAGTTGCGTTTCGAGGAATATCTTGATGTATAATTGCTAAGCTAACTTTCATCTTAAATAAAAGTGTTTGGCAAAGAGATCAGAAGGTGGATTCTACCAGAATACAACCACGGATTCCTATGCGCCAGCTGTCGATTGGCTCTATTGGAGCATCCATGTTTACACTGTCCTTAAGACGATCCCATCAGATTTATGTGGAAACGTGCTAAACTTTTGTCCGTCATATGCTGTAGATCAATAAATGAAGGTAACGTTCTTATAAACATATTCAAGCTATTAGTCAAGAAACCCTTCATGCTTATTCCTGAAATACTGAACGCATGCCCTATATATAAGCTTTTAGATGAGGTATAAAAAGATTTGGTTGTTTTATGTTAAATGTCAAACTCTAGCCATGTGTGTGTATATTTGTTTAACGGAACGTTTAGTCTGTTCTCGTTCATCAAGGTTTAGTGGCCACGTCCACCACTCCTTTTCCCTTATATTTTAACCATCATTCCGATTGCGTAGTAGGACACAAATTTGGTTAAGTTGATGAGCTTTTCGTCTTCGTGCATGATAGAAAGAGTGTACTAAGATATATATAAACGTGGCCGAAGTTAGAATCAAGTTAAAAATACTTATCGAGTTACCTCCTTTTTTAGGTGGCTTAATATCCTCTATACCTTTGAGTCTATTAATTAAGCAAAAGTAGTTCCAACTTAATTTCGTTCCTGCCTCTTAATTAGTATTCATAGACTTAATGTACTTATTCATGAGTTATGATAGCCCAAACATTCCCCATCACTCCCTCACTTAAATCAAGTTAACTGGGCCGCTTGGTAATTGATTATTTCATATTTTGCAGAATTAACGTGAAGGCCTTCAGGAAGATTAAGTAAAAACGAAGCACAATTTGTCATCCCCATTTAAGGATATTAAATTACGCGATATAACTCTGCTTCGTTCCTTAAGAAGCGTCACAATGCTATCCAAGCTATTTTTGACAATGTTAAATATCGTATAAATAAGCATTAAAAATAATTCCTCTTGTCAACAATTATTATAAGAATAGATATGGATTAGTTAACACACATTGTCTGTTGTTTTGTAGACTGCTTCTCAAATGATGTTTTAAAGAGTTGTAATGATTCATAATCCAGAGTCACCGTTTTATTACAGTTATCATTACAACCAGTCAGTAAGTAGTAGTCTCTCAACGTAGATTTACCACCATTCAAAAAATGACTCTTTCTCTGTTTTGCGATAACCAATTAAGCGTAGCTGCCGCATCGAGTCTCCCTATTAAACAAAACAGAGCATAGTTTTTAAAGTAGTTTAAGTCGGAATACTATTTTCACCAACTCTCTTTTCCTTTGCGAATCCCGATGTTTTAACACAGCCATCTATCACCGACGCCACGTGCCGTTTTTCCACCCTGAATTCTATACTGTCACTTTTCCTGTTCTATAACTGGTACTGTATGACCCGTTTTGGCTCTCTATACAAAGCCAGAGTACTAAACAAGTAGCGCGAAGTCAAGCAAATATTTTAATTTACATCTATATCAGTAAACTGATGGACCTACTTGAGCCTAACTCTGAAAAGATGACATCACTTGCCGTATAAAGTCGGCTCTCTTATTCGCCATGTAAATTACAAAATATATCGAACCTCTGGTCTGCGATGAAGACAACCTCATTTTATTACTTGGCTCTGCCAACTCTAGAGTGTCCGGTTTTACTCTCACCTCTGATATAAGCTTGCTGTGTTAATTTTTCAAGCACATATAATCTAAAGCAGTTAGACAAAATTCCTTGTAATCTTCGAGCATCTGCCAAACGACATAACAAATCTTCCTCAATATTTTCTGCCAGGCGCACAAGGATCGGAGTGTTATCATAAGTTCAACCAATATATAACCGAACTTGGTTCGCGCTCAGAACAAATGGAGATAGAAATTTTGCTTGATTCAAAAGGGCTGGGAGATAGGAAGCCCAGTATAATTAGCCCGACTTCTATAACTTGCAGGACCATCCTCCGACCCAGACTCTATGCTTTACCAGCTCTTGATGAGCCAAATCTCCGTCTAGATACGGCTGATCTTGAAAGCTACTAGAGGATTATTACTAAAGAAATCTTCCAGACCCACTGACGAACTGATGAAGGTAATCATCCCGTATACTAAAACTAACGACACGGTCAAAGACAAATAACCACAGGGTTAAACAATGACAATGGTACAGATATTAAATATGCTAAAAACTATGCAAATGCAGCTAAAAAAGCAGTCCTAACCCCATAGATCGAGATCCAAGTCCCATGCATGCGCTTGTTTAGAGAGGCGCTATTCCAACTCTTATTAATGGTGATGGAAAAAATTTCGTTTTTGAGCACCTGCCTGTGTCCCTCCTTGAACATGGTTAGACGAGCATAGAATTCCCAAGAAATTTACATCTTCCGAAAGGCTGTTACCCCAGCAGGTTACGACAAAATCTTGCTGAGATGCCACTAAGGATCACCGTCCCCTCTTTGTCTATGACAAAAGGTCGAAACAATAGTATATGGTCGACAAAGGTGTTGAAATCAGCCTTATATACCCTCGAATAACGACAGGTGTTCGAGATCCTTTCTTATGGAAAAAAGCAAAACAGCGATCATAACTTACAATACCAAAAGCGTACAGGTAGATTTCAGAATGGAAAAAATCTTCAAATGGAATTTTATTATAGTCGAGCTGTCTTTAGCCATCCATGATGTCAATTTTTGGGAGGCCACCAACTCTGCGTAGACTCCGTGAACAACAGCATCACCCAATAAAAATTGAACAGGTTTATCTACTCAATACCAACACTAGCGCATTTTTCTGTTTGGTACTTAGGACGAACAGCTAAACATGGAGTGTGCTTTTTAAGAAATTTCATTATATATTAAAGTTAATAGTGCATTGTAGCACATAAAATTAAGTGGTGACACATTATATTGAGACCAATAGTAGTCCAGTTTTTTCACGACCACGAAAACAAGCTCCAGACAAACTTGAAGCAACTAAGTCTGTTTTTAAGGCCTTAATGGGCGTCGGAATCATACGCAACTCAAAAGGCTTATCCACTCTCATTATCCTGAAGAAAAAAAAATATTAACGGATAACTTCCAAAATTATATTTAGTTACGACGCCCGATGGGTACCGTCACCGACGAGTCACTTACTTTGCTTTAATCTTAAAAAGTAAAACCATTTTCTCAAAGATATATGTCAAATCTGCCTATTGCCATATACTAATAAATGCTGCACTTATGCAAAACTTCCAGTATTGCCCCTTTTGGCCTCTTTAGGTTCACTATAATGTCAGTTGGTCCCAGTAGCACAAAACACACTTTTCATTGTTTAATTGATGAGCTCATCCAAGGTCTAGATGGTGTATTCGCTTATATAGTAGACATCCTGATAGTCAGCAGTAATAGTACAAAACCTCAACAGCTTTTGAAGGTTCTATTTGAAAAACTAACCTACCTTCCTGTCGTCATAGCTTTTGAGAAGTGCGTTACGTTTTTTATTCACCGCATTGATCTTCCTATGTCATGCAAAAATAAAATGCATCAAAATATTTCCTCTTCAACGTACTGTTAAATTCTTATGTGCTTTCCTCGGAATAGTGAATTTTTAATGTCGTTTCATTCTAAATTGCGCCCATATCCTGGTTCCATTTAGGGAATTTTAAAGAATAAAAATGAAGAGATTTATTTATCCGAGGATAGTAAAAGACTTTGCACGCAAGACAAAACAGCGTTAATATACGCCTCGTAGTTACCACACCCAAATTCTAAGGTAGCGCTGCACCAATTTCCAGATGC